GGGTCAGCCCGCTTCATATAATCACGACCTAACAATCTAATATTGAGAAAGGCTCACAATAAGGCCTTATCCCGTCCATTTCGAGCGACCGATGTTTTAGTAAACAAGAGACTCACTTGCGTATGGAACAAAATAAAGCATAAAAAAGCGCCGACATTACAATTATCTCTAAAATTTTGAATCTTTTTTCGATTTGAGCCTCTGTAAAAATGAACCAGAGTGACAAGTCATGTCAAAATCATGCCTTTTTTCACAAAGAAATATTTGTTTCCTGACATTGCAAGATAAACAAGGTCAAAAAGGAGTATATTTTGTTTTTTTGGCGGATTCTGCCTAGTATGAGCTGCGTCGGTGTTTCTTAAGAAACAGTTATGTAAAAAGAGGGCGACTCCGTGGTAAAAGTACCAGGGATGCTCGTCGGAAACTTTTTAAGACCCCTAAAATATCCCGGAAATCTTGAAAAAAGGGCGTGGCTGACTGATTTCTAACTCCTAAAAGATTGCTCATTAAATATTGTTGAATTAAATCAGTTCCATTGATCAGTTCCAATGACGATGATTACATGTTTTTAACAATCAAAGTATATTTTCAAAAACAGTAAAAAAAATTTCTCTCAATGTTAATGTTCGGTACTGAGGTGTAGTGATGGTCCAAAACGAAGATCCTAATAAAAAAAGCCTTACAATTGGCGATTCTTGTTAATTGTAGTCCATGTGTATTACACACACTTTGATCGTACTGAAAGTTAGAAGTTAGAAATGATTTAAAGGTGATTTTAGGGGGATCTTTTTTTTTGGGGGGGGGGTTGGTTGTATCCCACTTTGCTCGTACTGAAAGTTAGAATGATTTAAAGGTGATTTTAGGGGTGTCTTCGTTTTGGATGGGGGATTTGTGCGAAACGAAGACCCCATTAAAAATCCTTGAAACGCTCGTGTTTTGTTGTTATTACGATTTTGAATTGATTTTGTTGGGGTCTTCGTTTTTGGGAAAGGTCTTCGTTTTATGCCCGCGGTTATTCCAGGAATCATTTGGAGCCATTCAACCAAGAATCAAGTCTGGTGATTTTCTGCCTGCCTGTAACATTAGTCAGATTTACATGTATTGATATTTACGATCACTGACAGAATTTATCTTTGGTTGAGAAAGTGACTTGGTCGGCGTGATCCACAATTCTTTTTTTTTTCTGTTGCTTCCTTGACACTTTTCAAGTCGTGATTATACGCGTATTTTGTAAGGCTTGGGACAATCTTAATGTATTATTCCCAAGTRAGAATAGTACCACGAGTGATCCTTTTAAAAGGAAAGTTCGCCGAATAAAGCAAATGAAAAGCATTCAATTTGACTTTCTTTTTATCATTACATTTTTGACATTAACACACCAAATCAGCATATTGACCACTATTATAATAACGGATGGAGCTCAATCTCACCGTCTTGTCGTGACTTTGGCATTTTTTTGGACACCTTGAGCTGCAATGACTGCTTGAGCAGTTAATTATGTACTTTCGTTGACTTTGAGGACAGAGTTTCAGTGAGAGGTGACAGGCCAGCGATTTCACCGCTCGGCCATCTTTGCTTTCAAATCGTGGTTCTAGAAATCTGGCTTTTATAAGGTATACTAAACGACCCCTACTSGCCCTAGCGACTATAGCGGTTTTGTATAGGTGTGGTATGATCGTCTGGGTGTGAGAAGTCTTGTTGTATTTACCCTGACGTTTCGACATCATGCGTGGAAGTCACTTCTACAACTAAGGGAGAGAACAAACGAGGCACAGAGTCGGTATAAATGCGTAAGGAACTATAGCGGTAAACTAGTGTAAACTGCGTCGGTGTTTCTAAAGAAACAGTTGCGCAAAAAGATAAATTCAACACCGTAATAAACGAGGTGAAACAACTTACTGACGTTTCGGACGTCGCCGTTAATCATTCGTCGGAGTAAAGAGATGAAACTAGGGATAAGTGTGAGTGTACATAATGGTCATAATGAGGGGATCAAAGAAAGTAGAYCCCTTTTTCTGATAAACGTGATCGTTACCTTCTTTCTTTCCTAGTCAAAGGTGTTCTTCATTCTAATAAATGATCCTGGCACATTTCGTTGTTTACGTAACATTTGTAACACTTCTTCGTACATTACCCGTACACTTCCATTCTTGGTCCTAGATCATTACCCAGAACCACTGATCGTTTTGAATGTACCTTAACCTCTAATTTGTCTCATGCATTAAATATTTGCATTATAATAATATTAATATAATAATATTTATTGGTTATCTTGCATTAAAAGTGGTTTTTCAGAAACCTTTACAATTTATATATAAGTATAGAAATTAATCGTATGAGGAAGTAGCTGATCCCATTAAAGAGTGCTCAATACACATATAGTGTAGAGCTAGTTATATATATGATATCAAAGAGGCAAGATTTTGCTGTAACTCAGAGTTTCCTCGGAAATTAATAAAATTGAAATTAATAAAAATAGAAATTAATATAATTGTTTACACCTATTAAATTTAATAAAATCTATGAAAATTCCGCCGAGGGCACGGCACTTAATCTTGCTTTTAAAAATAGCTAATGAATTTATGGTATAGTAATAGACWGGRGTAGGTCGTTCCACAGACAAGCATGCTTGCTAGCAGCCCTATAGGCAAATGAGCGCTGCCCTGTTGCTGTTTTAAACAGCGGCACATTCAGTTTGTCCGCGAATGGACTTGGCTTCTCGCCGTAAACTTGTTGCATAAAGCTGGTGGGGCTAGTCCCTTGATCCATCACAAGTGCCATCASAAACATCTCTAACCTTCAGTTGCTTAGCAACCGGTAGCCAGTGGAGATCCTTTAAAGTGGGCATAATATGATCAAATTTCCTTGCTCCAGTCGCAATTCGCGCCGCAAAATTCTGCACCTTTTGAAGGSGAACAATGTTCTTCCTTGTCATGATTGCCCAGACGGACGAACAATAAAACAGCTTGCTAAACAAAAGAGATTTTATGATTGTTAAAAGCGTGGACCTATAAAATAAATGTTTTACATGATTTATTCGACATAAGCTGCCTGTGTATTTGGATACTACTTCAGTCACATGTTCGTTGAAAGTCAGGTGTGAACCCATAATAACCCCCAAATCCTTCGCAGAATGAGGATGGCAGTATCTCTTTGCCGAGTAATGAAACACCGAAACCCTCCGGCACTTGAAATAGCATCTGCGGGGTCGCAAGAAGCAGTAGCTTTCTCTTCTCTGGATTGATCAACAGGCTGTGTGTACAACACCAGGCATCAATCCTTTGCAGGTCTCCGGTCAAATGACGTTTCAATATTTCACGTACTTTTTAACGGTGTTAAATTTATCTTTTTACAAAATACTATTACCATCTGAGGCATTGACGGTCGCTATTGATGACGGGGGGTGAGGGAGATCTCCGTGGTAAAAGTATCGGGGATGCTCGTCGGAAATTTTCAAAAATATCTCGGACGTCTTGAAAAAAGGGCGTGGCTGACTGTTTTTTAACCCCTATATGAGCAAATATTGTTAAATTTAATCACAACAAGTTGTGCTCTCCCAGTCAAAGTCTGAGTAAGTTCATGATGTCATCTGTAGGTAATGATGATAATAATAATAATAATAGCAATATAGTTTATTTGTACTCTTTTGCAGTTGGGGAACTGAATTAACAAGTAATAATAACAGATTCTAGTGTAAATGATAAAATTGCTATTTACAAATTATTAAAACTACAACAGAAAAAAAAGGAATAAGGATTATATTATTTATTATTTATATCTATATGGCTAATAAAAGTATCTGAATGTAAAAAAAACTCTCCGCTCTCTTATAGTTCTGCATTGCGTCGCAGAATTGTACAGATAAAACTTAGGCGAGTTCCTCCTTAGATTACTTTGATTTGTTAAGTGCTGGTCTGGGTAGAAGATGATGTATGGGATDCTGTGTAGACTTCATTTGATTCATATACTTAGTGCATAAATAGTCTCTTCTAATTTCCAGTCGATCTAATTGAGCCAGTTGTAGGGCGTGTGTATAAGATTCGGCCTCAGGGTAGATATGCAAAGCGCTCTTTTTTGTATCTGCTCTATAGTTACAGAGAGGTATAGTCTGGAATAGCCTGCCACACTGGGACAGTGTACTCTAAGATAGGTCGCACTGTGCTTAAGTAGATCTTTAGTATGTTAGCTTAGCTGACTCCGGCTCTACGTAAAACTCTAAGCACATACAGTTTCCTACAAGCCTTCTTGGTAATGTGTTTGACGTGGCTGTTCCATTTAAATTTAAGGGGATCAATCTTGTTGTGCAGTTGTGGCATTAGCCTGTTACAGGCAAAGCTCTCCATTTACAATCATTGATAGAATTTATCTTTTGCATGGTGGGGAGAAGGAGAGAAAGTGTGACTTGGTCGGCCCAATACACAATTCTTTATAATTGCACTTTTGATGATTGCGRCGTATTTTTCCGATTTGTCTTGAACAGGGTATGGATTTTCACTTTCTAGTGTCTTAAACAGGGTCAGGATTTTAGATCGCTTGCGGCACGTACCTATCCAAAACGGGGGTCGAGCACTCATCCCTGTTACTTCTGTAACAGTTCATTTTAGAAATAACTTCACAAGAGATATCTACTCAAAAATAAGTTTCCTTTATCAACTGTTTTTATCTTTACGTTTTCAAAAGAACAAGATACAAGACACAAGTATTCTATACTCACAGCATCAGAACTAGGTCCTATAACATCTTTCTACGACCGGTATTCTAAACAGTTTTCACGTGTACAAATCAGTGTTAATTTCTAGTTCGCCGATCTATTTTAACTAAATAAAGTTAGTAGGTGCTGCATTGATTTATTTTCCTTGAAAGTCCCCCTTCCAAGTGATATTTTTAGATTAATTATACACGATAGACTGTGGCCCAGACCCCTATTGATTCTCGCTTCAAAAACAGTAATAATAGAGAGTTTTAGATACGCGTTTACGTCAAAACTAATCACGTAACCACTGTTTTTCTGTATTAACGCTCAGTTCTTTCGCGATTATATAGGTAAATTCATTGGGTGACGAGTGAATTCCNATTTTCAGACAAAGCATAAAAACCAAGTTGACGTTTTGCGTTTGCAGTAAACGTGAATCTAAAACTCTCTAATAATAATAATAAATCGCCAATAAGGCACCCGTCAGATTTTTCAAATAACTTTAGCGTCGCCAATGCATATAGAAGTACAAAAATATTTTAATATATAACAATATAACAAGCTCATAAGTTCTTGTAGTGGCAAGTGGTATCATAACCCTTTATTTAAGAACCAAATCAGCCTGAACCGCCAAAATAGGTATTCTTATACGCGGGTTTTTACTCGTATATTGTTTTGCAACCATTACAACGCTCCCTAGCTCCCCCGCTCAACCGAATATAAAACATTTACTATATAATACTAGACAGACTTATGGGAGTGTGCCCACACGAGCGACGACACACTTGCTAGTATTTTATTGACAATCAACTGTAATACATACATTCATTAGAGTGCTGATTACGTTTCATATAATATAATTATACTATATATGACGTCATGTTACAATCTTATATGACAGGAGGTATCCTGCTCATTACGTAGCATGTAGATAAACGAACTAAGTAAGCCCCGAAGCGCGCCCCATCCATGGTGATAACATGTTTTTTCCACTGCATGCATGTGTAGGTCGTGTAGGACGCGAATGACCAAATATCCTTACAAACTGAATATCTATTAGCCTTTGGCTAATGAACCGTAAAGACTTCTCAAAACACTCCATACCTAGCGCTCCCAATGCGCTAGTTATGTAAACTATATTAAATTCATATATATAGTGCGATTGATTGTAATCACTCAATTTTCTCAATGAGGTCTAGTTTCTAAGCAAAATACACTCTGACTTGTTTGTACGAAAAACAAGAAAATGTAAAGCACAAGAAATAATTTCCCTTGCACGTTATGAAAAAAAAACCGGGGTCCTTTTTTCAAATAGAGGACCAGTTTTTATCTTATGCAGGCAAAGAATGGTAAATGATATTGACTACAGATACCTGGCCTCACTGACACTTTTAAAGAGATCGAACAACAAATAATGCTAAATGAAATCAGCTCCAATAATAAAAAAAGCAGCGGAGGAAAGTATCGATGCGCTCTTTCTCTTCTTTTCCGACACCAGAAGATGCAAATGTACTGAAAACTCCAAATTGGCACCCTAAAAGATTCCCAATCACGAATTATTACCCCTAAGAGATACATCCCCGGTACTTTATTAGAATGTTGCATGTAATTTGTTCGGGATCATCTTCGCTTTAATGTATTCAGTATTCCCTAAAGTAATCAAGATAAAAACCGTGTCCAAGGATATTGGCCTTTTCAGCATCTTAAGAGGAAAGGCCAGTTTGAAATGGCCTTTCCGCCGTTTATGCATTCAAAGGCCAATTTRAAAATMCATTTCCTACTCGGATTTTTCCAATAATTTATTATGTTGTTGATCTTAGCTTTATGAAAAAGTGTAAAGAATTCTCGTAACCTATTTGAAATAAGCTCTTTCATATAATATATATAAGATTTTTTTGCCTTGAACGTCGGCTCCTTTCAAGTAATATTTTAAGATTATACACCGTAGACTACCCAGGCCCCTATAGATTCTCGCTTCAACAATAATAATTAATGATCAGTTAAAGTGCTGCTGAAATAAGTTTTTAGCCAGATGAATTGGCCGCGAAATGTCCTGATTTGAGATGATGAGCATGGCAGTGCTGAAATTTCAACCCTAAAAGGGACCAATCACTAACAGATCGTTTTGCTTTGGCTTCCCGATTAAATTTTCGTTTTTGCACATCATCGAACACCGTCGGCTCGTATTGAGTTTATGACGACGTTGCCATTTTATGACRGCTTAGGSTCGTCGTRTACYYTAAAAGGGACCACAAAACTCAGTTGGTGGGAATTCTCGTCATGATCACCCTAAGCGGGACCAAAATACCGATTCCTGGACACAGTTGAGTCATTTGATATTCAGTTACTGGACAAGTTCCTAGAGGAGCTTGCGCTTGACTATGACTGATRGGTAATCAGGGCATTCAATTCCTCAAACGTTCAATACGTTTTTCGCTATATTTCCATTCTGAGGTAAATTTGCGGAAACTAATYAACTTTTATAGTTATATATTCTATTTAACAAATAGATCTCATTTTTCCGTGCGTGTGTACTCTAATAGATACACAGATGACGTCAAAATGTAGTGAGAACAAAAAAGTACGCACGAGACGCAGTCGAGTGCGTGACTGTTGTTCTCACTACATTTTGACGTCATCTGTGTATCTATTAGAGTACACACGCACGGAAAAATGAGATCTATCTGTTTTATACAACAAACAATTAGTTTTGACGTAATCCGTGTATCTATACTTTGATAACACACGAAAGCCAACCAATCAAAACGTCTGATTTTACTGAAAAGTTGTATAA